AGGGCACATGGTAATCTCCGTTGGCGGATGTTCCGAAGGACTTTTACTGCTTTGCTTAAAAGTTAAAACGCTACACATATTATATTATTTTATTTTTTATTATTTTACTTAAACCACCAGTGCTTGGCCCAGCTATCGGCTGCGGAAAAAAAAAAGAGTAGAAACGTTTCCAGTCGGATGAATTTGGGCGCTCCTGTAGTGGCACGTACATTTCCTAAAATCGTGGCTTGGCTTGTTAAAGGGCACGACTTTGGGCAAGCCTTTTCTTTCTTTTTTTCCTATCTTCCAGAAAAGCCTTTTCTTTTGTTTGGATTCAAACCAAATTTTCTTTCTCAAAATTCATCAAATAATTTTAAAATTTTGAATTTCTTCTTGCTTAATTTTTTTTTTAGTTCCGAATTATATGAAAGGCCTTCCACGATTCAGACCCCAAATTCGGGTCTCAGGGTCAGAGGCCTGGTTAAGTAAGAGCGACCGAGCTCGTCAAATTCAGAAAAGTCAAAATCGGGCACCTCAGGAGTCCCGTCCAACAACAGGAACCCAGTGTTTAGTCACATCTTAGGGGCAAGAGTCACGTCTCAGAATGAAAAGTCATATTGAAGAGTCACATCCCACGAGTAAGAGGGTAGTTCCACAGGTAAGAGTCCTGTCCCAGAGGTAGGGGACACAGTCCACAGTCAAATGAAAAGTCATGACCCAAAGGCCCAAGCAGCAGCAGACCCATGGAAATTCGGGAAGGTTCCACTGTTCCAGTCCTGGACATCTTTTCAGAAGCAGACAGGCCGTGGGGGATGTGGTACCGGAACCAGTCAGGCCCCAAGAAGCAGAGGCTGGCACGCGTTGAAGTGTCAGGCCCCAAGAAGCAGAGGCTGGCAGGAGTTGAAGTGCATTCCAAGAGCACAAAAGGACTGGCCAGCCTACCATTCAGGCAGATGTTCACTCGCACGAGAGTGTGGAAGTGCTAGTGCACTTGTGCGCCAGATGTGAGAAAGCTGCGCTATGCCAGAGAGCAGCGCTGAGTGTGAGAGAGAGAGAGAGAGAGAGGAAGGTGGACGCTGGCAGAGAAGAAGGCAGCCATAGCTGCACCAGCACCAGGAAGCAATGTAGTTGGTAGTTATAGTAGTAGTAGAGCAGTGATTAGCATTCAGAGTTGATCCTCATGTGTGTGTTAGTAGTAGGCAGTGCGCATGTGAGAGAAGAAGAAAACTGTGGAGAGTGAAGACCAGAACCATCAAGTGAGAGAGAGATAAGAGAGAGCAAGAGTGAGCTCTAGTTGATACCTACCTGAAGAGTGTTGAACTTGGTGTTGGTATCCAACACCAAGTGTGCTGATGAGCGCAGATGCTGAGACTCTTGATGATCGAAGAAGACTTGTAATCTTGTTGAGGAGCTGAACTCTTGATCCTCTCTTTTAAACCTGGTTATGATAATCGAGCTGCGCTATCTGGTCTACTACACATCTATGTGCAAAGTGTGACATGCATGCATGCTAGTGTGAGCACTCCATCGTGTGATGAGCTCTGAGGCTCATTGCATATATATATCCTCCTCTCTCTGTTTTCATCCCGTTTTTTTGCAAAGCAATTGTGACTTTTTTCGCCTTAATCTATTCTGGGGGGCCGCCAGTCCGGTTATTACTCAATACCGCCAAGCAAAAGCTCGGACAGACGGACACATATAAGAACAAAAAAAAAAAGAAAAAGAAAAGAAAAGAAAAAAAGAAAAGAAAAAAGAAAGGAAAGGAACAGGCAGGAAAAGAGGGGACGCCATACCCACTGGGCGTGAGAAGGCTGTGACTTGGAACATTTTTTTTTTTCCTTTTTAACGAACACAAATGCCCGCCCCCCCCCCCCCTTCTATTCTGGGGGGACGTCAGTTCGGTCGCTTATCAACAGCAAGCATGGACGGAGTGCAAGAATTTCAGAGTAGACGAGGGGTACATTGTGATTTTTTTTTTTTTTTGGGTTTGCTTTTCTAGCCCCACTCACACACAAGCCCTTTCGATTCTGGGGGGCATTGTGATTTTTTTTTTTTTTTTGGTTTGCTTTTATCAACGCCAAGCAAGTTCAGACAAGGATTTGAAAAAGCGTTAGCAGAGGTAGAAAAGATACAAAGGGTGGAAGGGGGGAGGGGGGAGAAGGGAGGGGTCGAAGTCACTGCCCGCCTGCTTTGGGAGCGCAGGGGGGAGGGGGCGAAGGCACTACCTGTCGCCCTGGATGAGGTCGGTCGGTGCTGGGAGGCAGTACTTCATTTTCTCTCTTTCCTTGGCCTCATCGTCGGAGGGAGGGTCTGAACAGGGGTACTGCGCCCTGTCAAGGGTCTGAGTTGTGCTTGTAGGGGCCTCGCTTGGTCTCTTGCTCCCCCTCACAAGAGTATATCGTGCACAATATTTGCAGTGACGCAATTGCTCTCCTATTCTCCACCGGTCCCACGGTCCCCATGTTACAACGCGGAATCCAACCCAAGTTTCCAACCTATCACAACAAGCCCCATCGTCTCCCCSCTTCCCCCCCCCCCCCTATATAACTACTTTTTCCTCCTGTCCTCTCCCTTCCCTCCCCAGCGTGATTCCAGTGTACATCCTTCTTCATCCTCAACGATGGTGGTCGCTATGCTATCCTTCTTCATCCGCGTGATTCCAGTTAGTTACAGAGTCCGGGACCCGGACTCAGACCAGTCGGCAGCAGGCACTGCCTACTGGGACTAGACCGCGGGGTCCAGCGCAGACTAGAGGAGGATGGCTGCGGGGCAGAACACATCGTGGCGTTGGCAGCAGGCAGTAGTTCTGGAGCAGTGCCTTGCTGCCATGCAAGAGGAGGCAGCTCTGGTGGCTTCTGCACTAATGCCTGCCACAGCCTGGCAGCGCTAAGCAAGGTAAGCAGGGTGGCAAGGTGTGAAGATGGCTATGACGAGGAGGAAGACAGTGGGGACTGGTGGAGCTTACCTGGTGTTGAAGAGGCAGGCTGTGTGACAGACTCTTCAAGCAGCATCTGGTGAGTGAGTGCCACATGGACAGAGAGAGTGACACATGGACAGAGAGAGTGACAGTAGTAGGGAGTAGACGTGTGTGCGTAGAAGTAGGGTGTAGAGTATGGCTCTACTACACTGTTGTTTCATTTCACTGATTATTGGAGGTGAGAAGTGGGCCTTTCTTTGTCAAGGGACTTCACTGTCCAGTTTGCTCCTAATTGGTGTGCTCTCGGCTTTCAACTCGGCTCAATCGTGTTTGGTCTTCTATGGACTTTCGGAATTTTGGGGTTGGGGTTCTCAATGAATGCCTCACAAAAACAAGTCCAAGTCCATTCACAATTTAATATTTATGTCAATTTCGCTCTAACGAAACCCAATATCGCAGAATAGAATAGAGTACTCAACTCCGCTGGACAGCTCTCACTGTTCCTCAACTACAAGCGGGCTAGCTCAGTTGGTTTGAGGACGGAAAGTGGTTTGCAGGAGGTCGTGGGTTCGATTCCCCACGTTGTCCATTCTATCTCCACGGCCTTATACGCTTCGGGTTCTCCAGCGGAGATAATTGGCTTGGGTCTCCTGGCTGGCTGGGAAGCGACCATTTGCGCCTTCCAGCTCGCGCCTGCTGTTAGAAGCTTGGGTGCTGCTCCCCGCACAGAGCAGATGTGGCTTCTTAACTTATGAGAGATTTCCCTGCCTTGGGCAAAAAAAAAACCCTGTGGTGGATTGCTAAGCTGCGTGTAGGTAGGTAGGTAAGGTAGTGGGAGATACATCGAGAGAAGAATATAGGTTAGTTAAAAAAAGAAAATGAGAACGGTTCCCCAAAGTAGCCCACCACTGCGTGAACGTACGTCCCACACCTGTCCTCTTCATTACAGGTCTTGCTGAAACTCTTTGTGAGCTCTTCATTTGCTTTGGTTCTAGACCTGTGACGAAGAGGACAGGTGTGGGACGTATGTTCACGCAGTGGTGGGCTACATTCATGGTCTTGCTGAACTAGACCAGTAAGCTACTGTGGGATCATAACCTGATACATGCTCGATCGAGCGATGTATATGGACCCAAGGGTCCGCAAAGTGATGAAAAGCATCAACAAGCAATGTACGTCCAGGTACATACGAAAATAGCACAATGTAGCGCAACAGAAGACTCGAAGATATGACCCCGACCTGTCAGATATTGACGCGACACACCATCATCATACACACCACACATGTGAGAGTGAGAGGAGGGACCGCATACATAGAAGAAAGGTCCCGCCTTGAGCACTCACATGGGGAGATACCACGGATGAGGAGCGAAGAGGCGAGACGAAGATGGAGAGGAGGGAGAAGACCAAGAGGGTCCATTCAATTAATATTGTATTGAAGCGTTTGTAACGGCATTGTGCTGAGGGCGTTTTCATTGTACTGTACTGAGGGCAGTCCTTATTGTGCAGAATAATTTTTTTTTGGGGGGGGAGGCCAGTTGAGTTCTACTACAGGGGGTGACACGAGCAACCTCCCCTAGTTAGTCTGCTGCCAGCCGCTCCATCTATTGGTGGGGAGCTTCACCTGCTGGAAAGCGGGTCCCACGTCCCATTGAACATGTTGTGAAAGAGTCTGCCTACCGGGACCTCTAACCGGCATCGGCTTTGGAAGTGCAATAAGACTCTTATAAGAGAATCGAGAGAGTTTGAGGATGCCCACGGTACCTCTTCACTCTGCTGCTGGGCGCCAGATCCATCGTGGCATTCCTGGTACTGTGTGTGCAGCCCCTGACCCTCCATCCTTGCTGTGGGTGCAGCATCTCATCGTTGCTGTGTCCCCCAGCTTTTCATGCTTTTTTTTTTTTTTTTTTTTCGTTTTTTTTCTCTGTTTTGGTGAATTTTACCACGTCCTGTGTCCAATTTCCACATTGCCCTTCTCTTTCTGTTATATGTGATGCTGTTTGTTGCTGCCTCCCACTTCTTCCCGTCAGGCCCGTATTACATGACATCTGGTTTGCAGTTGTCCTGTGATCTGACATAGAGAAATGGTGTGGGAATTTTGCAGATCCAAAAAAGCTTTGAATGTGGAATGGAAGAGCTACCGAAGGGCTATTGAATGGCGGTGTAGGTGGCTTGAATTGAGAATGATGCAGATTCAGATGCAGGCAGAGAGATATGAGAGAGTGTACGAGAGGTTGCGTTCCTCAAAGGCAAGGCATTGGTGGAGGGGGAGGAGGGGTGGTGAAGATGAGGATATAACAGATAATTTGGATGAATCTTGGGACGGAGAAGCTGGCTTGAAAGCGGGGGAGACGGGAGGGGGCATATCGGCAAGAACGCATACGCATTGGGCAAGCAATTGGGCGATGAAGAGGGCCAAGGTGCTTCGGAGGAAGAGGAGACGACGGGATGAAGCGAAGGACATGGCGGCATACTTTGCAGTCCATCCACTGTATTCTCGTTATGGTGAGGAGGATTTGGCCAAGCCCTTCATTGCATCTTCTCTCAAATAGTGTATGCTGGCTGGTGTTCTGCCTTTTTTTTTTTTTTTTTTTTTTCCTTCTTTTCCCGAAAACACCTGAGCCTGATATACTGTGGGCGTGATTGTTAGACAGCATCACCTGCGCAAAACTGGGTCCAGCGTCCTGAAAGAATGCACAGACCCCACACTCCCCCGCATTAGGGCACGGGGAACCCCTCTCCCGGCATTGATTGCTTCCTTCAGGAAGGATTCACTGACAGTCAAGCCCACACTTTGCATCAGTCCCCTCCCTCTATCTTGCTACCCTGTCCCAAATAAACAGGACAAAACATCACGCCCACAGTGTCTTCAGCCCCACTGCTGTTCTCTACCATCATGTGTCCTTGCAGAAGAACCTGCCCAAACAGACTCGGGTCGTCCCTCTCAGTGCCTGGGGCAGACCGCCTGTAAAAACCCTACACCCTAGGACGGCCCTGGTCCTGTGCATGTCCAATCCTTTCGTTCCAATACATTGCCAGCTCCCTGCTGAAGAAACTCGCGAAAGCAGACTCGGGGCGTCCCTCTGTCTGCTCGGGGCGGACTGCTTGTGAAACCCTAGGATGACCCTAGTCCTCTCCGTGTCAACTCTTCTCATTCCCATAAAGTGGCCCCTTCCGCTGGTGTGTTGGTGGCCGCTGCTGCCACTCTGGATTGATCTTGGCTTCATGACCTGCTTGCCCAAGGTTGCGGAACGTCTTCTCCTTTGTCTATGCTGGGTCAAGGCTCAGAACTTGGGAGTCGGGGATGCTTTGGAAGGAGACTTCACTCTGTTCCCCAGTGGTTGGAGCTGTCGTCCCACACCAGGCAGATTTAATGCGCTCCGCATCTATTTTCGATATCTTCCCGGATCACAGAACCCCTCTCATGAATTTGTCTATGATGATTTCTTGCTTTTTGTCTGGGTTGTTCTTGATTTCTCTCTTAGTCATGTCTGTGCTCCACTGCTTGGACCAAACCTTCCCCCCATGCCTGGAGTGGGAGGGTGCTAGTATTTTGCCTATTGTTTTATGGCACCTTCTCTTCCATATTGTCCAGAGTGCCTGTGACCTCAATCTATGGGAGAATTTGGTTTCCCATTTCTGCCACGCCCTCGGTGGGCCCGTCCCATCAGCCTGGTTAGTTGTTCCTGTGGCACGGTTCTCCCGGAGTCCCGGTGACGGTGTCCCAAAGCCCAACGACATGTTTCCAGATCCGTGCGGCTTTCGTGCACTGGAACAAGAAGTGGCGTACAACTTCTCCTTCTGCTGCGTCACACATGGCACGTAGCTCACTGACTTCTTTCCTGTTTTTCCCGCCCCGTCTCTTGCTGAGCCATTCATTGGTTGACATGCGCTGCCAGGTAAGCAATCAGCCATTGAAGGCTTCGTACTCTGCCATTTCTGATCGCCAGAATGGAGGTCCATGGGCACCTGCCAGGCTGATCTGCAGGTGTCTCTGGCATCACTGCTTCAATACTGCTGAGACTGCTGCTTGGAACCAGGCCCCAAGCGGGTATCTGCCTACCGTCTTCATCCGAATAGAACGCCCGGTGATCATACCTGCTGCATTTGGCAAAACTTTGAAGACGGTAGTCGCTCTGTGTGTCTGCTTGTCTATTATGGTGATTCCATCTGTTCCATTCATATGCGATGCTGGGCTGTCCAGGTCTATCTACAAACTTTCGATCCTCGCTGCTTTTCTTGCTCTTGTTCCTCGCACCAAAAAATATATTTCTGCCTTGCATGCATTTTGCATCAGCCCAGAGAACCTTGCAACCTGAGTGAGGATGTTGTGATGCTGCTTGCTGCATTACCTAAGCGGTGTTCATTTAGTACAGAAGCGCCACTGGAACACATTACAAATACCTCGCTTATGTGGCTTTTCTTGCCCTTGTGGTCCTGTTTATTTATCCATGGGCTTCACTAGCTTTTAGTGGGTTAGAGTGCTGGTCTGGCATGCCAGAAGTCAAGTCACGGGTTTAAATCTCGTTTTTCCTGGGAGGTATGGCTGAGTGGATGTGAAGGCATTGGTTTGACCAAGTCAACGTACAACAAGATTGTATCATGGGTCCAAATCCCGTCTCCTTCGTTCTGTCCAGGGTGTAGTTCAAGTGGTAGAACATATGTTTTGCAAGTATGAAGTGTAGTTCAAGTGGTAGAACATATGTTTTGCAAGTATGAAGTTATCTTCCTTTCTTGGCTGCAAATTGTCTGGGCTGTAGGCATGTCTGACCTGGCTGGTCCAGCCACTCTTTGATACGGTTCCAAACGTGTCTGCAAAGTGTCCAGCGGTTCCAGCCTCACATGCAGCGGTACGGTTGCAGACATGTCAGGGTGTCCCCTGGATTAACTCATCTCAGCTTTCTGGCCTGGCATGTACATGCTCTCTTCTTTTTTTTTTTTTTTTTTTTTTTTTTTGTGTGTGTGTGTGTGACAGTTACAGGCATGAATGTGCATGTTCACTTTGAAGTTTGAATTGGACTTACTGGCATGAATGTGCATGTTGATTTTGAAATGGACTTTTCAAGTTTTCGTAGATCTTTAGGAGGCTTAGGCAAAAAGCTCAGATGGATCTTAATGGCCTTTGTATAAGGGACGCTGGACCCGTTTGTTGATTTTGAAATGGACTTTTCATAGATCTTTAGGAGGCTTAGGCAAAAAGCTCAGATGGATCTTAATGGCCTTTGTATAAGGGACGCTG